CATCCCACCTCTGGTGACGAGTCTGTTTCCTGCCTGTTCTGGTCATTCAGGGCCTGGAGTCCTGCAGGACGTCCCTGCTCCTCACCTCTGAGCCTCCCCAGCCTCCTCGGGCCTCCCCAGCCTCCCCAACCTCCCCAGCCTCCCACCCCCCGCCTGGGGTCCCCTGGGAGCCTCTGGACCCCGCTCAGAACCCACCTCCAGGGCCTTGCCCTCTGGGGGGGCCTGGTGCTGAGTCACCCCACCTGCCCCGCCTGGGTGGCGTGAGCACCGAGGGGGACACCCTGGTGGGTGGGGGCGACCCCACAGGACACTGGGGCTCTGTGTGCGGGGACAGGCGGCCAGTGTTCAGGCAGGAAGCGGGCAGGGCGAGACCTGCTGGGTAAACACGGCTGGGAAGGTGGCGGCCATGGCCCGGTGCCCTGCTGCCGCCCTCCGGGCCCTGGAGCCACGGGCAGCCTGGCGGCCACACCGGCCAAGGGGCCGAGTTCCAGCCCCAGGGGCAGCTGCCAAGTTCACCCCCGGCTCTGTCCAGCCCTGGCAGTCACCTGCCTCATCCCCGTCTGTGACACTGTGGCAAGAGAGCCGAGGAGGCCGGGAGAGCGCTCTGGGCCCAGGGGACACTTAACCCTCCCACAGGCTGCTGCAGGGGGGGATGGCCGGTCACAGGAAGGCCTCGGAGTCACCCCCTGACCCCCAGTCTTCCCCCAGCCCCTCCCCTGCCCCTCCCCAGGTCCACACCCACGACCCGGGGCCACCCAGGCTCCAGACCCAGTGCCCCGCAATGGATCAGTGGCTTGGCCTCCCTGGAAGGCCATGGGGACACACCAGGTGTCACTCTGACCCCACAGACCCTGGGGTCCCTGTCCCCCCGGTCCCTTTCCCACCCACGTCACCCACTCCAAGGCCAAGCTGGAGGTGGGGCCCACGGTCCTGCAGGAAGCCGGACCCCACGGATCAGTGAGGAGCCGAGCTCCTGTCCCCGCCCCTGTCTCTCTGTCCCTCCTGCCCCGGCCACACTGGTCCCGGTGCCCCTGTCTTGTTCCCTTCCCACCTTTGTCCCTGGCACCCCGTCGGCCCTTTCATCCTGCTCAGGTGTCACCCCAGGACCCCTGCTCCTCGCGGGTTCCCTCCCATCAGGATCAGTGCCACCAAGACAACGACATTCATCCCCGCCCTGGCCCGCCTCCTCATGGTGCTGAAGGCCAGGCGCAGGGGGGGCACGGAGCGGTGCCCACGTCCTGGCCCTAGAACTAGAGGGGAGGAAGGAAGATGAGTGGGGGAATAGAGGAAGTTTAAATATTGGATCCCAGTGACTCGGGAGGCTGAGGCAGGAGGATCACAAGTTGGAGGCCAGCCCCAGCAACTTGGCGAGGCCCGAAGCAACTTGGTGAGACCCGGTCTCAGAAAAAAAAAATGAAAAAGTCTGGGGAAGTGGCTCAGCACCCCTGGGTTCAGCCCCAGCAACAACAACAACAAAGTGTGACCGTGGAAGGGCTGGCGCCTGCCCAGCATGTGCCAGGCCCTGGGGTCCACGCCCCGCGTCTCCCACCCCGTCCACCACTAAAGATGGCTAAAGATGGGGCGGACAGGGGGGAGGCCAGGCTGTGAGGCCGCCCCGTCCAGGTTGCCGCCTTCCCTCCGAGGCGGAGATTTCTGAACCCCCTCTCTTGTGTCCACCTCGCCGCCCGCCCCCGCCCCACTCCCTGTGCCTTGCAAACAGGTGGTGCCCAATGGCTGCCTGTTGGGCTGACTGATCCTGGAGGGAGGGAGCTGACAGGCTTCCCCTGCGGTGCCGTCCCGCGTGCCCAAACCTGCCCCGACTTAAGCCGCTCTCCCGGGCCCTTGTCAGGAGGCTGGGATTTGGCAGGTGGGTGCCAGGGTGTCCGTGGGGTCAGCAGGGCCACCTCCTTCCTGCAGTGGGGCGGGAGGGGGCGGGGCGCCCGGGCCCCAGTCGGGATGGTCCTGGATCTGCAGTGCCCGCCCTGCTGGGGACAGACAGCGCCCAGGGTCCCTGGGCAGGGGAGGAGAGGGCTCAGGAAGGCCAAGGGACCTGCTCAAGCTCGCCCAGCGGGTGCCTGGGATCTGTGACGTCACCATGTCCTCGGAAAGCCCGGGCCTCCTTTCTGGGGCTCCTAGGAAGACGGGGGCTCTGGCTGGGCACCGGGTTCCTGCCCCTGCTCGGGCCCCCCACGCCTCTGCGGGGCCACTCTGGCCAGTGCGTGCTCAGCACCCCGGTGGTGACCCGGTGGTGGGTGGCCTGGCCCAGTTCCTCGGCCCCCCCGCAGGTCAGCCCTGGGGATCCTCCCAGGTCTGCACAGGAGTGGGTGCCGGGGCCTGGCACCGGGCCTGGCACACAGGGCACCCGACACAGTTTTGTCAAATAACAGGAGGGGGCTTCCGATCCCGCCCGGGCCTGAGAGCCCGGCCTCCCTTCTGCCCGGGTGCCTGTCAGCGTCCCCTCCCATCTGGTGCTGGCGTTTAAAGAAAAAAAGGGTTTTGCACACTTGAAAGCAAACCGCTGCTCCCCAGGACGCGCTGTGGGCAGGTGGGGTCTGTCACTCTTACCCGGCCTCCCTCCCGGTGGCGCCCCAGGCTCCCGCGTGGCCTCTGGTGCTCTGGCTTCGGAGCCCCTCTCATGGGAGGTGCCGGGGGGCCCACCAAAGACACCAGCCCAGAGGACACCCCGGCTGTCCCCACCCAGCTCTCCTGGTGGCCCCCTCCCCCCTGCCGGGCCTGGAATGTGTGATCACAGCCCTCAGGACAAACTGGGACAGCGAGGGAGCTGGCCCAGAGGACAGGCCACAGAGCACAGGACGGCCACAGAGCAGCAGGCCGGCTGTGTGTGTGTGTGTGTATGTGTGTGTGTGTGAGTATGTGTGTGTGTGTATGTATGTGTATGTGTGTGTATGTGTGTGTGTATGTATGTATGTGTGTGTGT